TAACAACATGGAGAAATCTACATCCAGAGCCGTGACTTTTTGGACGGACCAAATGTACAGAGCTGTAAAGTTGTCCACCATGGTAGCAGTTAGCTGCTAGCTAACCGTAGCTAACTTGTTTGTCCATTGTTTGGTCTGTGACGTAATAGGTCAACAGGAAAAAGGTCCAATACTAACAAGCTGAAAGGGGGCATATCTCCACCTATCGTAGAGGAGTCGCACATACTTGGCTCAATAAATGGATTCCCCTCCAACCAATCAGAGCCAAGGAGTCTCCAATACAGAGTAGCAGGTGGCAACCTTGTACAGTAGCCTCAGCCACCAGTGTGTGAATGTGACACTTAGTATGAAAAAGTGCTTTGAGTGGTCACAAGACTAGATAGACTTTATACAAGTGCAAGTCAATCTACCATTTACCATGATGCTAACAGTTAGCCTGTCAATCCGGTCTCACTCGGAAGTCGTCCAAGTTTGGCGCTTGGTCGGTGACTTCTAGCATCAGACAGCAATGAAAAAAGCTGTCCTTTCACATCAGCATGATACACAGCTGGTCGTGTTATTGTTAAACAGTGCCCAGCGCCGTCAGGGGGAAAGGCAGTGGGACAACAACGAAAGTTAAGGGGCACAAATCTGACTAGGATGGGTGGTGGATGTTTCCAGCAACCCTTGACTGTCACCTGGGAGGCCGGTGTTTGCTTTTCATAAGACTGTAAAGCCAAACAGTCTAATCTAGATTTATTTCAGACACTGCACTTTACTTTACTGCAACCCACAGAGTGTCTGCCTGACTCAGTGTTTTCAGTTTACATCCTCAGTGAAGCCACCACTTGTAGAAGCTTATAAAGCCTCTCATCTTCAGGTGCCGTCTCCTCACCTGTAATCCACACGACTAAAACCATGAGTGAAGTGGTTCTACAGTGTGAGTCTGCAGGCTGGTATCCAGAGCCTGAGGTGCTGTGGCTGGACGCTGAGGGAAACCTCCTCTCTGCTGGACCTACAGAGACACTCAGAGGTCCTGATGACCTCTACACTGTCAGCAGCAATGTGACTGTGGACAAGAGACACGGCAACAACTTCACCTGTAGAGTCCATCAGAAGAACATCAACCAGACCAGAGAGACACACGTCCTGGTTCCAGGTTAGCACACTTCATATGTGTTAATCATGTGATTCAGACTTCATATGAACATCACCTTCTGTGTTTTATCATTTCAGATCATTTCTTCATGGTCCCCAGTACTACCAGTAGTCCCAGTACTCC